CTATGTCACTGATGAAACTAATATGCAGCATCTGAATCTACATCCTGTGAGCTTTTATTCAGTCCCTTGACTGACAAGAACCCTCCCTTAAACAGAAGTTTAAATGGAAGCCCTCTCTGATTTGCTTCCCTGTTGCATGATAATTAAACTTTAACAGGAGAGGTGAAAAACCTGTCGTCTGTCTTCCTATTCCCTAGGGTTTAATGCACATGCTAGGAGGAAGTCAATTTCTTCAGAAGATCTCATCTATAGGAATAGCTTTACTCTGAGTCCTAAATAGACTTGGGCAGGTACAGTTGCATTAGGAAAGCTTATGCTTTACAGTCTTGCTTAAAGAAATAAATGTTAGTAGAAGAAGCACCTTGAGGGTATTTCATCATTGCTATCATGACTAATTTCACATGTCAAACCAGCAACTTTTTTTTTTGTTTTATTTCCCCTACTTATTTTACAGGGGGAACTAATTTCTGTGTGTTTTCTCAATTAAAAATTAAAAATTCTCTCATTTTTTTTTTACTTTGCTGGGGGTTTTTGAGATGAACATTGACACAAAGGTTAAAGTAACTTCAAAAGGCCTTCAGTTTAGTATTAGTTCTATGCAGCTACCTCCATCTTTCAGAGTATTACTGTTCTGCATGATCTGTCTAACCAAAGAACAAGATTTTCCATGGTCTTTGATATTTTAAAAATATATTGAAATCTGAAATCAAGTGCTTTGCCTGAGTCTTGACTCTGCTGGCAACAGTGATCTGAATAATGTAATAGCATGTAGAGTACCCCAATAACACCTTAAAAAAAAAAGCAAAAAAAAAAAGGCATATCTTCAGAATCAGTTCAGCTATGTCTAGCAAATGATTAAAAGCTCTGAAGTCTGATGTGGATAAAAGAGCGGTCATAAACAACCAAGACAGGAAAAAAAAAAAAACCAAAAAAGAATAAATAGAAAAAGAAGAGTTCCAGATAAAACAACCCTATTTGATTAAAAGACTGCTCAAAGCGCAAATGTCATGCTAATACAAGAACATAATCTCTACCCAAAGTTACACAGGAGGCACAGCTAAAATATTTTTATTATAGCCGTAGTACAGAGTTCATTGGAAATCTTGACAATAATGCAAAAACAATGCCACAAAAAAAAAAATCTCAACCCTTTCATTTATTTCTTTCACATTACCCATCTAGGTTAGAGGGTTTCTACATAGCGATAGTGGGGACAATTAAGTCTGTTTAACACAGAGACAGATGCCAGATGTATGCATGTAACAGTTACAGAGGAAGCATATGCATAGTATCAGCTCTACAAATAGTCAGGCTCCCTAGGCACTCGACAGTTTTGAAGCTAAGGGAGGGAATGTTTTTATGTTATAACATTTTCCCTTGGTGGTAGCAAATTAGCTGCCTTGTATCTATCTCCAGCTGGAACTGCAGAGTCACTTGAGAGCTTACAAATAAGTCTAGAGCTCTGCTAGACTGTTTCTTAGGTGGTATACATACCACACCTTAGCACAGGTACCTGTGTGGCAGGTGGAAACAAAACAACAACAAAAAAGTTTAATTCTTTTTCCCATAAGAAACATTTTTCTTACATTAATTCCTTACGGAATTTGTTCAAGGTCAGGCTGAGCCTTACGTTCAGATATGGTGCTTTATTTTTGTCTCCTTGGGAATTAAAGAAATTCTTCTTCTTAAAGAAAAACAAAGCAGTTACATTTTTATTAGGAAACACAGAGGCTTTTTTAAAGAATCATGCAGTAGATATTGGGGCTCAGATTTCTCTGCTGTCCATTATCTGTGATAATCAGAATTCAAGCTAATAATAACTGTGCAGGTCTCTTGCCTTTTTTCTCCAATAAAACAGTAAGCCTGGGAGGAGGGGGACCCATTAAAATAACTTTGTAAAGCATACTTGAAACCCTAAATGAAGTAAATTTTATAATGATGAGTTCCAGTAAATTAAAAGATTGCTTTAAATATCCTGAGAAAATTGACAATGATCCATACCTAGAATAGGTTTTACTGCATTTTATAGCAGGTTTTCCCCATTTCTAGGGATGCAGTATCTTCATCATCTCTACAGAGTAAAGATTTTCTTAAAGAATGTCAATAGATTGATGTTAACTGTTTTTTTCTGAATCCTTCCATAGCTTTAAATTTAGCAGCTGCAACTTTTTCTTGCTTTACCAGAACAGTGTTTAACTTATCTAATGCCTCACTGCTGATTTCCTTTGTAGGGTGTTCAGATATGTAAGCTGAGGGCACAGCTAACAGAAATTACCCTGACTGCATCTTACTTGTTGGTGATATCTGTAATTAGCTTTTAAGTCTATCTCCAAGACTAGAATACACTTTTTTTGTAAGAACATGGCTCAGATTAGAGGTTGCCAGACACCAGAAAAATAGCTTCCAATAGTTACCAAGCTTAAAAAAATTAAGATATTAGTGAAAACAAAGAACATGTAATGACAACATCTTTGGAAATAATTCCCCAAATTGACACTTTTTCTTAAAGCTGTCTTTTGTAGCATCAAAGTAGTCTGACATCAGTTCAGAAATTGAAGCTATAACAAATGAAAAGATGACAAGTAAAAAGGTGAGCAGCTGAACTGCTGCACATAAAAGTAACTAGTAGGAGAGATTCTTCTGTATTAGTGGTGTTAATATCTATAATCTCCTCAATCCTTGAAATATAAGAAGGTGATCTGTAACTTAGAGTTCTTGATGAAGGATCTGGGTAAAGGAAGATATGAATATTCTTAAGGTATCTTCAGTAAGTGTCTTTCAGAAATTAATCCACTGTTCATGGAGAATCTGATAATGTGGTCCTGAATCTGTTTACATGTATAATTCTCTTTGCAAAACTGGTTATATTTAGGGAGTCAGATTTGAAAAAGACATGCTTAATTATCCTTTCTGATTGATCTAATTGGAGCACTATCCAGGCAGGAAGTTAAGTAGGATAGCATTATGAAACTTAAATTGCTAAGAGAATTTGGGTTCTTCATAAAGTGACACAAGGGTAATCCCATTCTGCAAATCTCTTTGGAAAGTGGTAACAACACACCAGAAATCTTCTAAATAACAGTCTAAGGGACCCTCTAATCATATGATGATTAATTTGTTACTTAGCATGGGGAGGACTCTACATGAAACTCCTAAAAAGAAGTTCCTTTCTTTTATAAGAAGATATTTCTGCATCTCTATGTCCAAGTGAGAACGCCTTAAGATGTCTAGACAACCTAAAGTTTTTTCTGAAAGCAGCATCATGAAGAATGCTCTTCTCCTATTCTGTCAGATGCCTTCCATGAAGTCCAAAGTATATGACCTGCTTATGACATCAACCCTTGAAGCAGAGTATGATACCCTGTAGGGTTTTCCATCTGTCAGCATAAAACCCACATGGTCTCATTATGGCTGTTAAAAGAGATTTTGAATGTAAATCCAGGCATATTGGCAGGAATGTGGAGGAAAAATACTCTCTTTCACCAAAGTGGCCATTCAGATTTTGAATGGTTCAGCATCCATGCAGCCTTTGTAATTATTTTTATGAGACTTTGCAAAGGAAAACAGGTAGCATTTGAAGAGTGTTACTGCATTGATTTTGTTTCCTACAACAGGCTCCTACACAGAGGCTGACAGACTTCCATTAAACAGAGTCTACCTGCAGTCAGGATGTAAACAGAGCCATCAAAACAACATAGAGATTTCTTCAGAAACCTGTCATGTCTCTCACCTCAGTGGCACCCTCCTCAGTCAATATCTGTAAACAAGTTGTCATATCCCAATTTGAGGCAAGCTTGCAAAGCGAAAAGCTTGGTACCTTCTAATTAAAGATTTGTATGCTGAGATAATTGGCAACTGGCAAGGAAAGTTCAATGGTGTAACATATAGCTCATCGCTGGTGGCTCAATGGTCTGACAGATGGAGGTAGCTCCTTTAAATTATGGAGCTTTTATATTCGTATTTTTAGGAAATGTCAACAGCATGATTATATTTTCATTAATGTTGTCTTTTCTTCCCATTCATTGCTTTTGTTTGTTATAATCACTTGTTACCTTTTGTCTCTAACTATACAATCTGCTAATATTTGTATAGGCAGGCTCACAATGGTCCTGGTTAATGACTAGATTATAAGCATTGCCACACTACAATATGCAGCATTTACTAAGTGCTGCAATTTAGATATGGAAATCATTGATACTATAATTATGACTAGCTTACAATAAAGTTAGTAAAAAAAATGTGAATATCATGCAAATTGTGCAAATGATTACACAAATTCAGTTAAGTTTCAGATTTAAGAATCATTGCTTTTGTAGATGCTAGTGCTGAAACAATCCCACTGTGATATCTTTTGCACTGCCTTGATAAAGAGTGAAAATATGCAATATTAAAAATGTGCTTTCCAAAAGATCCACGAGGCTGTCCTGTTCTGTTAATTACTGCAGTTTAGTTTTCCTTCTTTCTCAGGAAACAGCTTGGGGCTCTAGAACAAAGATTTACAGTTTAAAATTATCAATGTGTCATGTCGCTAAAATTTCCCAGTAGCTTCTCAGCTAAGTGCAGGGCTGGCACAGCTAGCCTTTGTACATTTTCCACCTGCAGCCCTGGGCTAGGAAGACTTTCTTATGTGGGATGGGGAAGAGACCAAAATCACTGTTTTGTGACTGTTGTATGGTCTTTTCATTGCAAATTAGAGTCAGAGCCAGTCAACTCATGGGCAAACAGTGAAAATCAAGACTAGGCATCCATTTTCTTCTTTCTCCTCTATTAGGCAGGAATGAGACATACTTTTTACTAGTTAGAAGTTTTCAGTCACTGCCAACTATAGAATTGTGTATTTGTACCTTTGAGAAAACTAGTGAAAAGTTTCAAGGGCTGTTGAGCTGTGTCTGGGTCACAGGTAGAAGTTGTTTTTCTCCTGCAGAAGTTTTGATATTGTTGTGAATTTTGGAAGCAGAGCCTATCCCTGTCTGTGACTCACAGGTCTGATTTGCCTCCAGAACAGCAAGGCAGAGGCCAAAGACCCATTGTTGGGATCTGTGGACCAGCCCGCTGTGAGGATGGAAAATTTTCAGGTAACACAAATATTTTTCTTCTCTTATATTTTTTTAAATAAAAATATGTGATTGTCATTAAATTGTAATAATTTAATTAAAGCATGCTTCTGTAAGAAATGTTTTAATTTTCATAGTACTCCCTGTAATCCTGAAATATTCCTCCAATATTTATTGTCTGGGACAAATGTGAACTAGAATTAAATCCATAGGTCATCATGCTTTTATGGCTTTTGAAGTGTTTTATGTCATAACAATACAAAATATATATTGTCTTTATCCTGTATCTAGAAAACAAGCAAAATCAACTAAACAAAAACCCAACACCACCTGTGGGAAACTGTGTAAGGATTATAGACCACAGAAACTTGTATTTATAATATCAGGAGAAAAACATGAGATCCAAGAGGTTTACAAATGTGGCAGTCCACTCTCATTTTACTGCCAGTTGTTTTGCTAATCTGAGCTACATAATTGCTTTGCCTGACTGAAAGGAGCCTTTAAACAGACAAGCCAATATAAATACTCAGATAGGAGACAGCTCTGTTTAATAACAGCAAGAGAAGTATAGAAGTATTTGTTTATCTCTGCTCATTTATGTCAAAATCAATTGTAATTAAACAGAAATCCAACCACAGAGGTAGTGCTTTAGCTGACTGTTCTCAATAGAAATGTCATATAGACCCGGTGTTTAGGACATGCCAAAGCACACATTATTTGTCTCCTGTAATAAATATCTACTTATAGCCTTTCCAGTTCTTTAGTAAAGGCAATTGCCTGTCTCAAATAAAAAAAAAAAAAAAAAAAAAAAAAAAAAAAAAGCCACCATTTAATGTAAGTGCTGTGAGGTTTTCTGGTCATATTTTAGGAATTACTGAAGTTCTGAAAAGCGGAGTTAATTACATCCTCTGTTAGATATTATGTGGCATTTATTGTCCATCTGCTTACACATATGTACGGAAAATACAGATCTTTCATATCTATTTAAGGTATTAAAAATATGAAGCATAGCATTATTTTATTAGTCTAAAACATATACTGGTGTTGCTGGAGGTTTTTTAAATAAAATCATAGAATGGTTTGAGTTGTAAAGGATCTTAAAGATCAGCTAGTTCCAACTGCCCTATCATGGGCAGGGACACCATCCACTAAGCCAGGTTGCTCAAAATCCAACCCAGCTTGGCCTTGGACACTTCCAGAAATGGGACAACCTGTTCCAGTGCCTCACCACCCTCAGAGTAAAGAATACTGTGGTTTTGGTTAGACCAGGGAAATATAAGCTACAGGGAATTTTACACTTTTTTTCATAACTGAGTAAATTCTAAATGGAAATACTTTCAGTAATGAACAAAAATTCACAACATCAATGTTGATCTCCTACACAAGTCAGTGTGAACTCAGTGTATGCACTCATAGACAGACCTTTGTCGTGTAAAAAGGGTCATCACACATTTTTATGTGCTTTACTGTTCTCTGTAAAGCAATGAAGAATATAGCATTTAAAAAGTAAAGGTATTGTGAAACTGCATGCTTTCAAAAAGAAGGCAGCATATATTTTGAAATGGGTGCTCTGGTTTAGTTTTTATTTGAACCTGTTAGTTGATAGTCATTCCAGTCAAGGGAATCAACCTATGAACCATCCCTGACAATTAAGGCTTATTTTTAGCTTCTACATTCATAGAAAGGAATTTAAAAAGTAGTCAGTAAAATAAGGTCTTTATGTAATCAAAAACTAGACATCCCCCACTGAAAGAGAAAAAAGGATATCTGAAAGATAGCTTTCCTAGGGCAATTAAAAATAACAAAAGCTACTGTTATTTTAAAATATTTAATTTATTTATTGCTATCAGCTAGCCATATTCTTATTTAGTCTTTATTCATGAACAAATGGCAATAAAAAGCTACATTTTAAAATATTTTGTAAGTTCTTAGGAAAGAATGCACTTGAATGACAATCAGTTAAAATCTTATAAATTATAATTATATTACTCTGTCTGCCTTGTTTAACTCCAAATAAAATTTGATAAAATAGTTTACAGGTTTTTTGAGGAATAGGATGGCACAGCTCTAGCTGTAGGTCTAAGTCTATGCCTATTTATATATCCAGACTTCTTTATAGGGGTAATCAGACTTTAAATATACACAGATTCATTTATTTACATAAATATATATATAAGCATATATGTATATGTATATAGTCTGATTTCCCATACATGGGAATCTTGACATTTAGTATTAAATTGTATGGAGTACTTAAATACAGACTATAGTGTTCTACATCCTATAAGTATAGTGCATAAAATATTTCTTGGAATTGTTTGCATGCTGATGTTTACCTTAAATTTGGTTTTTTTGCGTTGTATGTATGTATAATTTAAATAATTAGGGACCAGTTAAATTTCAGAAAACATTGTATTTACTGATTCAATTTTTCCACTGACTTACTGTTTAAAAAAAAAATTATTGAGCTTCTTCTTTTTTGTTGTTATGCAAATTTCATATAACTAGTGAGTCAAAATAAGAGATCTGTTTTAGCCATTGAAAGGAGCCAGCTTTCTAAAGCATTAATTAATTAATTTCATAGTGCAATATATTTAGGTTAAAATCAGTGCCCATAATTAATTTTGTTCAATATTTATAAAGAAAGTGTAGGAAATTGTAGATACCACAATAAAAGAATCTTTTTCTCTTAGCTTGCTATAAAAGGCAGATATTAAATATAACTCATCTTGTAATAGAATAAAATATATAAGATATATCTTTTGCTGTGCCAAAATACATACCTTGCATTACATTTTATATGTTGCCAATATAACTTTCATCCTACACCATCTCTGAATTTCCATCCAGAATACGTTTCCTATCCAGGCAATGGTTGTTTACAGATATCTTGTTTCCTTTTCTTTCTCCGGCTGATAATTTAGCAGTTCTATTTTAGTGTATGTTCTCCCCTAAGTGCATAAAGCACTTCTGACTGTTTACCCTTAAAGCTCCAGAGAGTTAGGAAAACCTCTAGACTGCTTCTGTTTATTGTACACACATGCACTGTTAAGGGTTTATTTTCAACGGGAGGGAGACAAGCACAGAGATAAAGACTGATGGTGCATATCACTCTACCAGAACATCTTCTGTACAGCACAGCATATAACCTATTTTACATATATATATATATTTATATATTTACCTTTAAATTGATTCTATTTTCTCTTATGCCCTAATTTGGCCCTTGGTGGTGATAGTTCACTTTGTGTTTGTAGTTTCTGCTACTAGTACAAAAATCCCTGTTTGATTTTCTTCACTGTGTGGTTGCTGTAGCAGTCAAAATTACAGGCTAATGGTGAGACAAGTGGCTTATAATGTATGATAATCAATACTCAAAATCCATTCCCTATGATGTGACATAAAAGAAGGAAATGTAAAGGCAGACATTTTCAATGCTAGAGGAACAAAGCTCATGCAATGCAGGTAGGTTTCAAGTCAAGGTCATTCCATGTATTTTTTGTTGGTTTTTTGGTTTCATATTTAATTCAGTCACTGCTACCATGTCCATGGAGCAGAAATGGAAAGTTAGTCAATACAGTGAGTAGGAGTGCAAGTATAAAAATTGCTTTAACAAATACAGGAAATGAGTAGGGGAGAGACAATAGAGCATGCATTATATACATAACAAATATATGCTATTGCATATATCTCTTTTAGTTAGAGATTGCCAGCAAACTTTGTATTTTTGTTGGCAGTAATGAATAATCTAAACACTGTGAAAGACCCCTCCTCATACCAATGTATATGTATGCATGTGTATGAGAGCTAATATATATCTTCAAACATAACTTGGTTATAATAAATTAACCTAATGAGTGTTGAAAGTCTCAAAGCATAGTTTTTGGCACAAAACAGAATACCTACTGAATAAGTTTGCAGTACTTATTTCCAGTGACTGAGAACTTCTCTGAACTTTACCTTTCATCTGAGCTTGTTTGTTTCAATCTTAGTTCAGGAAATATTTATTTTTTAAAAGAAATACAGTTCAGTTGAGTTTTAGAAAAAGAGTCAGTGTGAAAATAGAATTTCTTAGTTCTATATTTCATATAGATATATTTATGCATATATATGTGTGTGTGTTGTCAATGTACCCCGCAGAGGATCACATATATATATATATATGTGATATATATAGATATATATATCTACGAATATTTATTTAATTTAAGATAATATGACATAGAACTACTGCTTGAAAGACAGAAAGAATTTTTCTGCTACAGATTGCTTTTTTGTGGTATAATGAAATAGACTGTAATGTTTGGGCTATTTTTGGTGAGAAAGGAAAAAGCAAAGAGGGATCTTGCTTTGATAGAGTAATTGAAAAGAAAGGAGCAGAGAAGAGTACTGGTCTCTTGATTGTGCAATTCTGAGCATTTTATGATAGCTAATGTGCAGCAGGGCTTTCTTTTTGTCTTTTGTTATAAGCAACAAAATTGTTTACAAATATCCATACAAAGGATAGTTAAGCTTACAACATAAAAGCTAGTTGGAAAACTGATAAGTTGTTTAGGTAAACTTTTAAAAGTGCCAAAAAGCATTTACTCAAAATTGTCGTGAATTCCATATGAAAAAAAAAATAACTTTAGGTATTGTTAGGGAAAATCCTGAAGAGAGCACCTATTTCTCTTATTTCTGTAAGTCCATTTTTAAAGTTAGAGGCTGAGCTTGTCACAAGTCTACTCTGAAGAATCCGGAAGATTAAGATGTTTTTAAAAATACATAGATTTGGTTTGTTTTGCAGAGCTTTATGTTTCTGAGTGAGGTGGGGTTTTTTTTGAGCAGGAGGAGGTAGTTTGGTTTCTTTGGGATTTATTTTTTTTTTTAGAGAGAGAGAGTGTGAGAGTAGCAGTTTCCCTTGGCTGTTTTAAAGCAGCAGCTGTTTGATGCTGTAGAAGCTCCAGAAAACTAGATACAGAGAACTTTAGTGGAGGTGAACTAATGGGTGGAATGAGGTGTATAGCTATGTCCTTCATTTGTATGGCTCCCATTTCATTAAGCAATTGCCACACATATGTTGTCTCTGTGGTTATGCATAACAATGCCATCTCATTCAAGTGAAATAAAATCAAACACCACAAACTTAAATTTCTTCCTCAAAATCTTTTCAGTTCTGTCGCTTTGTTACAGTCTTAAGGTAGGGGTTATTTTACTCCTGCTTTTCATCATGGTAATTTTAGTTTTTACTGGATACTAAAACCAGCATGTGGATTAGTTTTCTGTGGAGATCACAGAATCATTGAATGGTTTGCATCAGAAAGGACCTTGAAATATATACCATGGGCAGGATGTCCCTCACTAGATCAGGTTGCTCAAGGTCCTGTCCAACCTGACTTTGAAACCTCCCAAGTGATGGGACATCCACAATTTGCCTAGGAAATTGTTCCAGCGTCTCCCTACTTTCATATCAAAGAGCCTCCACCTCATGTACAATCTAAATCTGATTTCTTTTAGTATATGCAGCCCAGGACACAATTGGCTGTCTGGGTTGTGAGCACATGCTGCTGGCTTATGTCCAGCTTTTCATCCACCAGAGGACCCAATCCTTCTCAACAGGCCTACTCTCAATCTGTCCATCCCCCATTCTTTATTGATCTGACTTCAACTCAGGTGCAGAATCTTGCACTTGGACTTGTTGAACTTCATGGTGTTCACATGGCCCCCACCTCTCAAGCCTGTAAGTCCCTCTGATGGAATCCTCTGCTTCCCTCCAGCAAAGCAGATACACCACTCAGTTTGTTGTGATTCTAGGGTGTACTCAGTTCCATTGTCTATCTCATAAATGCAGATCATAAATAATGTTGGCCCCAGTGTGGACCCTGGAGGGACACCTCTCATTATGCTTTCCACTTGGACATTGAGCCATTGACTGCAGCTGTTTGCATGTGACCATCCAGCCACTACCGTATTGATCTGACAATCCATCATCAAATCCATCATTCTCCAATTTAGCACCAAGAATATTGTGGCCATATCAATATTTGACCATCTCAAAGGCCTTACAAAAGGCTTTGCCATGTCCACTGATGCATTCGCTCCATCCTAGAAAGGCACCAGACAATCTGTCCTCAGTGAACACTTGTTTGTGTCTAATCACCTCCCCATCTTCCATGTTTTGATACATCTTCCAGGAAGATCTGTTCCATGATTTTACCAGATGCACAGCTGAGGCTGACTCACCTCTATGAATGTCATGTTTAAGGCCTCTATGTTACATCCTTTTCCTCAACAATCACTTTGTTCTGTTGTCCCTGTACCTAATTCTCACTTGCTTTTAGTATTTTTTCAGGGTTAACACCAGACATAGATTTTAAAGCCTTCAAGGAAGGGAGCTCATGTACAGAATGAGATTTTTCTTACTACTGTATCACTAACAGCTATCAGTTCTGAGCAAATTATCACAGTTTAACATCACTGTGACATAAAGCAATTTTAGTTTAAGTCCTATTTATTCATATCTTTTTAGAAATGTGAAAAACAGTTTATACTCTTAGATTCCCATCTTTGATGTTTCTTTTGTCATGTCTCTGCAGTGCAATCATTCATTAATCAGGTGGTGATATAAGATTACTAGGAATTTATTTTCTAATTTAGAAAGATGATGTCTGCTTAAATTCTCCCCATCTTTGGGTCAACATGTTTCTTCTGCTTTCCTGAAGGCTTGTTCTGCATGCCTGTATGAGTGTTACATCCTTATAGTTAAAGATGCTAACAGTTTTGGTCTAACTGGAATTCCATGCACTTTTTAAATACTAAATTCCTCAAAGAAATGAGTATTGAACCATATGCCCATTTTGTGAAAGAAAAATTATTAAGATCAATGTATGGTTAACTGAAACCTAGAGATGATAAAAGGATTTATACTATTTATTGTTTTTCTTATTCCTGATGGTTGGTTAGAGCTACAAGTACAATTATAAGACAGTAAATATTGGCCCAAATGTAATATATTTAATGCAAATTACACACAAGCCAAGGTTTTTAAAACAGAAAGTTTTCTTTTAGTTGTAGAATAGGAAGTACCAAAACTTATGTTTTAAAAGTGTAGCAAGGGAATCTCATTTAACTATATTCTATGAAAGAAATAAGGATATAGAAATCCTATCTGAAAACATCATCAGTTCAAATAGTGTGTCACCATTTGTCATTCTTCCAAATTGTATGTATTGAGCAAATCCATTTTCACTTAGTTGCACCAAAACTAAAAAGGGGAAAACTGATTACATGATCCATACTCATGTCTAATAAAATTGCAATATGTGCTTTTTGACAAGCTTATATTTAATGCATACTGATGGAAGATTCTAGCTCTTTGTTCTCAGCAGGAAAAATAAGCTTTTCAAGAAAACCTTATTATTTTGTGACTGTCACACAACATAACAATTACAAATGAAATGGAGGTGACAAAAAAAGAAAAAACATCTTGCTGATTTTTATGAAGTTGTTTGTATTTCCAGAAAAGCAGTCACTGCTCAGTTATTTGATTTGAGAAATTAATCCTTATAATTCCTTTTGAGTTCCCTAAGTACTGTTCACTCTTTTCTAGTATGAGTTTTACAGAATAAAGCCTAAAAGATTTCTGCAGCAGATTAGTTTACAGATGAAGCTCAATTCCACTGAGAATGAGTCTCTAATGACCCCATTATACTTCCATTGGGTTGTGTGAATGCTTTAATATGTGGAGAACAGAGTTAAATAAATCTATTGTCTCAACTAACAGGTTTATGCAAACCTTCTGAAATATTTTAATTATAGCTTCTTCTTTTTCTCCATAATTAAGAAACCAGATGTCAAGTAAACCCATCACGTGATGATCATCGCCTATTCATTACCCTAAATAAATCCACTTATAATTAGAGGTTTTTTTCTCTTTCTTTTTTTTGTTTTGCAGAACAAGAAGAATGTGTTAACTGCACAGATGAATGCAGAGTGCTTGGTCATTCTGACAGGTGTTGGATGCCACAGTTCCCTGCAGCCAGTCAGGCTGAGAATGCAGATTATCGCACAAATCTCTTTGTACCCACAGTTGAAGCTAACGTTGAGACTGAGACATATGAAACTGTGAATCCCACTGGGAAAAAGACTTTTTGTACATTTGGGAAAGACAAGAGAGAGCACACTATTCTCATTGCCAATGTTAAACCTTACTTAAAAGCCAAACGTGCCCTGAGTCCTCTGCTTCAGGAGGTTCCCTCAGCATCGAGCAGCCCAACCAAGACATGCATTGAGCCTTGCACCTCAACAAAAGGACCACTGGATGGTTGTGAAGTGAAATCAGGAGCCTTGGCTGAACCAAGCAGCCAGTACTTGTCAACTGACAGTCAGTATCTATCGCCCAGTAAACAGTCAAAGGACGCTTCCTTCATTGCATCAGATCAGATGGCTAGGGCCTTTGCAGACGTGCACTCCCGAGTGAGCCGAGACTCCAGTGAGATGGACTCTGTTCTGGAGCAGTTAGACCGTTCAGCCCGGGATCTAGGCAGGGAGTCGGTGGATGCCGAGGAAGTTGTGAGAGAAATAGACAAGCTCTTGCAGGACTGTCGGGGAAGCGACCCTGTGGCCATCAGAAAGTGAGGGGGAAAATAAGGACAGGCTGGCAGTTGCATTCCTCTTCTGCTGATTGAAAGTAAATAAATAAGTAAATTCCCTGGTTGTTACAGAATTACAGGAATGAAGGAAGACCAATGCTGCTTTAAGGCTTTTAGTGAACATCTGAAGTGCCCACAAGTATGTTCTTTTCACTGCTCTTTCTTTTTGACAGATAACACTGGTTTCATTTTGACCAAACTTTCATTAGGACAGAGTCAAGTACATCAAGAACAAAATGAAAGAAGGAAAGACAGTGCCATTTTGACAATCTCATAGGAAGGTGTGAGAAAGATGGAATGGAAATACGTCTGATTCTTTAAGACTGTCCTCAATAGCTGATGCTGACTTTACCGTTTACGTATAAACCCCCAGAAAAACAGGGTTGAATAATGCTGACCTGTGGTGAATTTCCAGCAGCCACCACAGGCTTCTACTGAAAGTCCTATAAAGAGTTCTTGTAGTAGTCCAAGCGACACCAAACATTAACATTCATTTGTGGTAAACATTTATGTACAAAGTTATCTGCCACAAATATGAAATACAAAAAAAAAAAAAAAAAAAAAAAAAAAAAAAAAAAAAAAAAAAAAAAAAAAAAAAAAAAGAACAATAGAACAAAAAGAACCATTCCAGATCATTATTCAAGAAAACATATCCTCATCATTAATGAAACACTACATACCATATTAAGGTTAAATGTAAAATTATATAGTCCATCTTGTCCTGCACACACATAAGCTAATTCACTTGATGAAATGAAAAAAAAAGATTTTAATATCTATTTAGCATTTTAGTGTCCAACAAAGCTATAAATAGTTAGTGATAAGTTAAAAAAAAAATAAAATGGAGTAAAATAAAGTTTGGGAAGAAAAGAGTTACCTTAATGGTAATACAGAAAAGAAATTAACATTATTAACACTTTTTTATTCATTTGTGGACACTAAAATAGCTCAGGAAAGTGAAAATGTCAGACATCCACAAAAATCACATGGTCATTTAAATGTGCAAATGTAAGAAGATTCAGTGTGTTTACATCAAATGACATATTTTTATTGATTTATTGCAGATTCAGTGCATATGAGCCAAATTGTTGAGTGTATAAGAGCTATATTGTGTATTTTATTAAATTAATATATAGTTGTGTTGCAAAAATATTTGGGCTTATATTGTAAATGGCAAGTGTTGCCTCAGTAGCTGTCGAACTCTATGAGTTTTGTTTTCTCCTGCTTCCTTTTCCCCATGGAATATGGGAAGCAGCGCCTCAGAGCAAAGTCTCTTGTTTAATGTATGGTCTACGAAGTACTGCAGTACATAATCTGTTCAAAATATGTTTGAGTGAGCTGATGGAGCTAACTGAACAGCCTACAAGTACATCCATCAGTCATGGTTATGTGCAAGTCCTTGTAGAAGCTTCTATTGCAAACCCATGTTTAATAACAAAAATTACACTCGAACCAACATCTGGAACATCCTTGGGTTTTGTTTTTTTTTTTTTTTCCGCAACACATGCAGCCAGCCTATTCAATGCAGGATATTTGATTGAATTCTTCAGAGATGCCACCAGTTTAATAGTTTTGATATTAAGTTTATAGAGCTGAAAATTTATGTCAGTGTCAATCTAGGATGAGCAGTAATTTATCTGATACTTTAGTATGTGCAATAGCTTACTGCAGTTCTAGATAAATACTGCTTATTCTGGGGGGTGTTTTTAGTCAGATTTTCACTTGATCTGAATAATATTTGCAGAATAACTTAGAATAACTTGGGACATAGTTTCTATTTTTTATTATTGCTTCCTAAGAATGTTTTTATTGCATTTGAAAAATTCAAAGTTACTTTCAAATGAAACTTGGAAAAGAACAAATGAACTTCCACAATACAAGAAGAAGCAGAAGAATAAAATGTTTAGCTCAGGATTTGTCCCTTATATACTTTGAATACTCTCCTGAAAATACCACTATGGCACATTGTTTAAAAACTATGAATTTGGTTTCTTAAATTTAATCTGTACTATAAAAACATTTATAAAAGGGGTTGGCAATCTGAAATACCACAAGCCATAGTTTTTTTATCAGTTCAAAAACGAAAGTTGACCCAACAGCCTATTTTGGTTTTGGGCTTGCATTTAAGTGGTGATTTTAGCTAGTCAGTCCTACAATGAATTGTCTTTGGGAGACACCAATTCTGACAGTTTGCTTTTAGCTCCTGTTAAAAAATGTCTACAATTACATGCAAAAGAAGGATCTTGTACATGTCTTATCAAGCTACTCTCCATGTTTTGGACAATTTATGTATCTAAAACGTGGTGTTGTCTGTGTTATATAATTTTGTTTTGTTTTGTTTTGTTTTTTTTGGCCAGGAGACCCAAGATTGGTTTTGCTTGATAGCTTGATAGCTTGAAATTCCATAGTGGAGAGGATTCTTATTGTTTGATCAGTCTTTTCTACGTATTTCTGTGGTGCCCATCACTTCAGTGTCTGTGCACCAAGTCTTTAGCTCTGCCAGTGAGATCCATTATTCAGCAAAATCTACGCCAATATGTAAATGCAGTCAAGTGATGGAGATTTGTGTATTTTATAAATGATTTTAACACTGAGTAACCAATTGTACAATTCATTGTATGTTTCTGAAGACATAAAACCACAACATTCTGAGAAAGGGCTGTGCCAATGTAAGAGGAATTTACCTTAAGGCTCTCTGTCACTAGTGATTTACTAGCTTTAGCTGTTTAACACATTATCTGTATTTAGTAGTGATTATTTATTTACCACTCTGAGGTAATTCAGAATTCATGACTCACAGCTTTATAGAAGAGTTTAGGAAATCTTGCTTTTATTTAATTTGTCTTTCAACTGCCTTGTTTTGTAGAACTCCGGCATACTGCTTCCCAGTATGAAATCATCACAGGTTAAAAAATTTATTTCACAATTTAGAATGGACACATAATAAACCAGTAAACCAGTAGAGCTTATACAATGTGAGTTTTGCTGGTTCAGTCAAAATTTACATGATTTTGTGTGAAGGATGTACTGCACACAAAAGATTTTAAAGTGTTTTTTTTTCTCCATGATATCTCTACTATCACCATTGGAGAAAGAGGCAGCAATGAAAGATAAAGTTTATGAGTTATTTCTCTCATTTTTTACACACATGCTTTATAAGACTGAAAGGAAATATCTGTCAAAAGAGTATAAAAGGAAAGCTGGAGTTAAGGAAGGCAAGTAAAGCAACTAATAAATTTGTACTGTACACTGTGAATAGCGAATAAGGCATTCTGTATCTTTTTTAATTAAAAAAAAGCCAGCAATTGGGAATTCCTTATACAATTGGCCAATCAAATCAGAACTCAAAATCAGACCTTTCTTTTTTCCCTTTTTTTCTTTAATTGGCATATTTATCAGGAAACAGATTCTTCTGAACTGTGATTTGCTACTTAAGAATAGAGGTTTCCCAATCCAAGTTACCCCTAGAAGTCAAACTTTGTTCATAGTGGAACAAGATACACCATTCAAACAAACTTTCATGTTGCTTGCTGTCAAATGGAAGGGAAATTGTTGAGGTCAAGGAGGAGTCTGAAGCCTAGCATAACATACACCCACTCATTATTGTTTAATTGCTTTCTTTTGACATCAGGCAGCAGTTATTATTGCATTAATTTAAATGGGAGTTTTGGCTATCAAGATTTGTTGACTTGAAATGTAACTGAATGAAATCTGATTAAGGTTTTGACTTCTCTGGCCCAATTGTGATACAGGTTGGCATTCTCATTTATCAGCCCCTGTCTCCCCATATGGCTCAAAGTTGCACCAATGACTGGTGAATGACACAAAAAAAACCAAACAAAAGCAGCATACATTGTATGGATTTTCTCAACCGCTATTGTTTAATGGCTGTGTTTAATGTGACCTATCTGGAAAATGAGGACTACGAATAAAAAGCGATTACTAATAGTGGTGTTGCCTGCTTTTGCATTCATTAACACAGAAGAAATGTGTTAAACACTGCATACCACAGGGAGCCTGATGGTAATTACTTTGGAAAAGCAACTTGTGGCAATGCGGCTGTTACAGCTAGTTATCAGTTTGCCAAAAAAATGACAGTTCCTGCTTCATTTATTAGAAATGTGTAACTGTTTTCTCTCAACAGGAAAGTGGAGCAGAGTTTTCATCAAGCTGGGTAGGTTTATCTTTTAAGCAGCTGATGCACTGAATCCCTACAGGCTGTTATTTGCTCATAGAAACATGGAGCTGAATAAAGGATATTTTGGTTTAGTATACTGGTGTGAGTTCACCAGAAACATTATAAAGGGGGTAAGTTCTAAAAGAGTGTCAGCCTAGCAGGAGAGATCAAAACACTGCTTGAGTATACAAGTGGAGGACAACCTGAAGAATTCAAGGAATTAGTTTTTGCTTTCTATATTTTTTAATTGTGTCTTTCTTAAGAGTGTGAGTAATTTTATTCATGTTGCTGTAAACAATGTGACAAATTGCTGGGAAAAATATTACTAAGTCCTATGGCTGGTTTTTTTGAGTTTGTTGTTATAATTTAACACTTTCATTAACCTCTTTTGTTTGGTTGTGTTTTGATGTATTTGAGCATTATGATCAATCGCTCAGAACTGTGGCACTCTCTGTCTGCTTCTGTGCGACTGTAGCAATGACATACCAAATAGTGTAAAGCCTGTAAACCAGAATTTTTAGGGGTTTTTTTGGTGGTTGTTTTTGTTGCTGTTGTTGTTTTTTGGGGGTTTTGTTTTGTTTTTGTTTGGTTTTTTAATTTTTTATTTTATTTTTTGTTTTTTTTTTTTTGGGGTTTTTTTTTTTTTTTTTTTTTGGGTTTTTTTTTTTTTTTTTGTTTGTTTGGTTTTTTTTTGCCTTTTTTTTTTTTTTCCAGTGGGGAGTTTTTTGACTTTTGTTTGTTTGTTTGGGAGGTTTTTTTCAGTAATTAAGTACACAGGCATTGCTTTTGACAGCTAAATATAGTTTCAGTTTGTTCAGAACACTACAGGTATTATAAAGGTGTGTGCTATTCCTGCAGACAGAATTACCTTTTACCCATTTCATTTTTTCTGCAAGTCTCCTCACCAGAAACAAAACCAGCTTGCATCTAGTTAGCTGCCCATCTTAGGCAGTGAAACCCAACAATATTATCTCCCCTTTTTCCAGCTACATATATCTGTCTTTCTACAGTCTAAATTCTAAAATCTAGCAAGTCACTGTCTGTGCAGAGTCCTGACAGAATGTACCTTATGTTGCAAATGACCTCACTGGACATGGGATGTTACTTTTACTGTCTTCAACTGTGTATGATTCAGAGCTTGGCTGGATCCACAGTATATGTAGAACAAGTCATAAACCATCCTGGCTTTTCTTTACCCAGAATACAGTAATTGATTTCTCATTTGGAAAGTGGCCAGTCCGTCAAACAGAGATTCTTAGATCTCCTTTAAGCCAACCACGTACTACTGCTTCAGGGTGTTCACTCATGGGATAAATACCCTATCCTTATCCTTTATTGAGTCTAAGACATGAAGGCAGCTGAAAGCTTATTCCTTCAGTTAGTAATGTTTCCCTA